CTGTGTCCGCAGTCTCTGGTCATCTCCTGTACTGTGTCCGCAGTCTCTGGTCATCTCCTGTACTGTGTCCGCAGTCTCTGGTCATCTCCTGTACTGTGTCCGCAGTCTCTGGTCATCTCCTGTACTGTGTCCGCAGTCTCTGGTCATCTCCTGTACTGTGTCCGCAGTCTCTGGCCATATCCTGTACTATGTCCGCAGTCTCTGGCCATCTCCTTTACTGTCCGCAGTCTCTGGCCATCTCCTGTACTATGTCCACAGTCTCTGGCCATCTCCTTTACTGTCCGCAGTCTCTGGCCATCTCCTGTACTATGTCCGCAGTCTCTGGCCATCTCCTGTACTATGTCCGCAGTCTCTGGTTATCTCCTGTACTGTGTCCGCAGTCTCTGGTCATCTCCTGTACTGTGTCCGCAGTCTCTGGTCATCTCCTGTACTGTGTCCGCAGCCTCTGGCCATCTCCTGTACTGTGTCCGCAGTCTCTGGTCATCTCCTGTACTGTGTCCGCAGTCTCTGGTCCATCTCCTGTACTGTGTCCGCAGTCTCTGGTCATCTCCTGTACTGTGTCCGCAGTCTCTGGTCATCTCCTGTACTGTGTCCGCAGTCTCTGGTCATCTCCTGTACTGTGTCCGCAGTCTCTGGTCATCTCCTGTACTGTGTCCGCAGTCTCTGGTCATCTCCTGTACTGTGTCCGCAGTCTCTGGCCATATCCTGTACTATGTCCGCAGTCTCTGGCCATCTCCTTTACTGTCCGCAGTCTCTGGCCATCTCCTGTACTATGTCCACAGTCTCTGGCCATCTCCTTTACTGTCCGCAGTCTCTGGCCATCTCCTGTACTATGTCCGCAGTCTCTGGCCATCTCCTGTACTGTCCGCAGTCTCTGGCCATCTCCTGTACTATGTCCGCAGTCTCTGGCCATCTCCTGTACTATATCCGCAGTCTCTGGTCATCCCCTGTACTGTGTCCTCAGTCTCTGGTCATCTCCTGTACTGTGTCCGCAGTCTCTGGTCATCTCCTGTACTATGTCTGCAGTCCATTGGTTCAGAATTTTTTTTCCTGTTTTTCGCCTCTAAAACCTAGGTGCTTCTTATGGTCAGGTGCGTCTTATGGAGCGAAAAATACGGTATCAATTTGGGCTATAATGGATTGGTGCTCAGGATCGCTTGACGTCATCAGACAGTGCAAGGAGAAACAAAGCCCAAATCTCGCGACCTCCGAGATCTCGCGAGATTTGGGCTTTCCTTCTCCCTGTGCTGGCAGAGTGATTTAACACCTGTTTAGATTTGTCATCCAAGTCACAAAATGAAAAGTATGCCGTTTTCAATAAACTTTTGCATAAAATAGTTCATTTGCATTTAATTTTAATGGTTCACCAGAATGTCGGGCAAAATGGTCGGCCCTCGCACATGTTCACTTCATCAAATCTGGCACTCTTCCAAAAAAGTTTGGACACCCCTGGTGTACACCGTTTGGTGTACGTGGCCAAAAAAAAAAAATGAGGGAGAAAGAAGAATAATCGTGGGATATAGTTCAGTCCATGGTATCTTGCGAGGATAGACCCAGAGACGAAAATCGTCCTCGTTTGTGGAGGTTGAGTGAACTTTCAGTAGCACGCGTGGGGTGGGACTTCCGCGGCGAGCAGGATGCAGACCTCTGCTTGGCGCTCTCCGAAGGCATCGCTGGAGAATGTAGTTGCAGGATCCACAAGGTGTCTAGGAGATCCTCTGGAGTCTTGCAGGTGTAATCTCGGGATTGGTATCGGAATCGCACTGCGAAGGGGAAGCTCCACCTATACTGAATAGCGTGTTGTTGGAGCACTAGTAGGTGAGGTTTCATAGCCCTGCGCTTGGAGATAGTTGTGGGGCATAGATCTTGGAATAATTGGTAGGTATGTCCCTGGAACTGTAGAGATTCCGTGTTACGGCCAGCTTGTAGGAGTTGCTCTTTGGTGCGGAAGAAGTGGAGCTTGGCTATAATGTCGCGTGGGGGACCATCTATGCGTCGTGACGCTAGTGCCCTGTGGACTCTATCCAATTCTAATCTCTCGATTGGGATAGCTGGAGCAAGCTCTTGGAACAGAGCTGTAACCGTTGATTGGACATCGACGATCATTTCCGGAAGGCCACGGATACGCAAGTTTGAGCGCCGTGCCCGGTTTTCAAAGTCCTCCAGTCTTATCAATAATGTAGTGTTTTCGTCACGCAGGAGATCCAGGTCATCCGCATGTGTCTGAAGCGAGGCGTCAAGACCATCTACCCTCTGTTCTAGGTCCGCGGTGCGCTGTCCTAGTTCACGGATTTCCCTAGATAGCGTGGCAGTGATGCGGTCTGAGGTTTGCTTCAAAGCTTTGTGCAGCATTTTTTGAAGCGTGACAACAGGTCAGGGGGTGTAAGGTCAGGCGTCAGGGCTTGTGCAGGGACATCAGTTTCAGTGTCAGACTCACCCTCAGACGTGCAGGGATGGCTGGGCTGCGGATCCTGCAGGGCTGCATATGCCCCTGCTGCTTGCTTGCTTCCACGTGTTGGGGCGGTGGCCATCTTTGTGGAGGCCTTTGCCAGGGCCTCCTTTATTGTTTTGGTGGAAGGGGGGACCTGGTGCCGAGGTGCCCCCTTAACCATTGTGTAGTTTGTGGGGGGGGGCTGTTATAGAGATTTCAGCCCCCTATTCTCCCTCTCCTCTGCCTGGGCGCAGTGTAGTGTAGGCAGCGGTGGGCGGGCCTATGTACGGCTCACCACGGGAACACGAGTCCCCTGCCAGGAATCCCCGCTCTGCTGCAGGTGATCCGCCGCGAACCAGGGCGGATCAGACCCTGGATGGATTGCCTCGGGGATCGGGTCCCCCCCAGGATATATTGCGGGCCGGGACCCGCTGTTTGAAGGGCGCTGTCACCCGACGGGGAGACGGAGCCTTATCGGGACATGTCCGTCCCGCCGGCCGCACATGCGCACTGAAATTTAAAGCAATTTTCTAAAGAAAATTATATAGTGTATGGCCAGCCTTAGTGCTGCCTTTTTTTTCTCCCACAGGTTAGTGCTATCCCTTTTTGTCTTTCCTCCCTTGCCTCTACCTTTATTAGACTTCGTAATTTTTCCTTTGTGAGAGTCATTGGGAGTTATTCTGTCAGCAGCCTTTTTCCTTTCACCTGTGGCATTCCCTGCGAACAGCGTGCGTGCATGATCCAGTCTGGGTTTTGTGGCTGTTTCCGGTCTCATGGCTGCTTATGGCATCTGCACATACACTGTGCAGAGGACCTCTTGTGGCGACCATCTTTGTTATGGCCACAAAGTGGGACACACAAGGCTTTTATTGAGTGATTCTGAGGACACACCATGAGTATAGCAAGTGTCAGGGCTCCGGGAATGACCAGAGGTGTGTGGACCGACACAGGGAAACACAGACTTCAGGTATAGTGTGTAAAACAATATAATTTATTAAGGACATCACAAACATAAATGCAGTGCAACAAACCAAACCCAAAACTAACACAAATACATACAAAAAGGTGAAACAAACCCAAACCTAAACTGATATATATATATATATATATATATATATATATATATATATATGTATATGGAGCACAACATAGTCAGGCGGGCCGGGTCGGTAGCTAACGGGCAAACAGGGTACCAGGAGCGAGCAGAAGAGTGGTCAGGAATAGCCAAGGTCAGGACAGGTGGAGTTCATTCAGAGTCAGGTTCAGAGTCAGGATCAAAGCAGGATCAGGCAGGAAGCAGACAGGATGCAGGTACAGGGGCTCATGGGAAACATACACCAAGTCCCTGATCACAGGCCTGGTCCTGCTTAAATACACCTCCTGCAATCAGCCTCAGGTGATGGCCTGATTGCAGGAGTGAGATTCTGGCTGCTGAGAGCACTCGCTGGCCAGCCTTGGTACTGCAGCCCACAAGGCAGGTGAGTCCCACCACCATTGGCGAGTCCATTCCTGACAGTACCCCCCCCCCTCAAGGAGCGGCCTCAGGACGCTCCAAACAGTCCTTAGTGGGCAAAATGTTCCACCGCCTGGGTCAGGTAACTGGCTGGATATCAGGGGCTGGCACATCAGGCTGGGCAGCGGACAGAGGCACATCAGGCTGGGCAGCAGGCAGAGGCACATCAGGCTGGGCAGCGGGCAGAGGCACATCAGGCTGGGCAGCGGGCACAAGGCCATCAGGCGAGGCAGCGGGCACTGAGTCATTGGGCAGAACAGCAGGAACCGAGTCACCTGGCACGACAGTGGGCACCGAGTCACCTGGCACGACAGCGGGCGCCGAGTCACCTGGCTCGACAGTGGGCGCCGAGTCATCTGGCACGACAGCGGGTGCCGAGTCATCTGGCAGGACAGCGGGCGCTGAGTCATCTGGCAGGATAGCGGGCACCTGGTCACCAAGCTCGACAGCAGGCACCGAGACATCTGGCACGACAGCGGGCACCGAGACATCTGGCACGATAGCGGGCACCGAGTCACAAAGCTCGACAGTGGGCACCGAGTCATCTGGCAGAACAGCGGGCACCGAGTCATCTGGCAGTACAGCGGGCACCGAGACATCGGGCACGACAGCGGGCACCGAGTCACCAAGCTCAACAGCGGGCACCGAGTCACCAAGCTCGACAGCGGGCACTGAGTCATCTGGCAGAACAGCGGGCACCAAGTCATCTGGCAGAACATCGGGCACAGAGTCATCTGGCAGAACAGCGGGCACCGAGACATCTGGCACGACAGCGGGCACCGAGTCACCAAGCTCGACAGCAGGCACCGATTCACCAAGCTCAACAGCGGGCACCGAGTCATCTGGCAGAACAGCAGGCACTGAGTCATCTGGCAGAACAGCGGGCACCAAGACATCTGGCACGACAGCGGGCACCGAGTCATCTGGCAGAACAGCGGGCACCGAGTCACCAAGCTCGACAGCGGGCACCGAGTCATCTGCCACGACAGCGGGCACCGAGTCATCTGGGCAGAACAGCGGGCACCAAGTCACCATGCTCGACAGCGGGCACCGAGTCATCTGGCACGACAGCGGGCACCGAGTCATCTGGCACGACAGCGGGCACCGAGTCATCTGGCACGACAGCAGGCACCGAGTCATCTGGCAGAACAGCGGGCACCGAGTCACCAAGCTCGACAGCGGGCACCGAGTCATCTGGCACGACAGCGGGCACTGAGTCATCTGGCACGACAGCGGGCACCGAGTCATCTGGCAGAACAGCGGGCACCGAGTCATCTGGCATGACAGCGGGCGCCGAGTCATCTGGAACGACAGCAGGCACCGAGTCATCTGGCTGGATCGGGCCATCAGGCTTTGATCGGGCCATCAGGCTGGGTAGCAGGCACCAGATCATCAAGCTGGACAGGATCATCAGGCTGGATTGGGTCATCAGGCTGGATCGGGTCATCAGGCTGGGTAGCGTACACCAGATCATCAAGCTGCATCGGGTCATCAGGCTGGATCGGGCCATCGGGCCATCAGGCTGGATCGGGCCATCAGGCCATCAGGCTGAGTAGCAGGCACCAGATCATCAAGCTGGACAGGATCATCAGGCTGGATTGGGTCATCAAGCTGGGTAGGGTCATCAGGCTGGATCGGGTCATCAGGCTGGATCGGGTCATCAGGCTGGGTAGCGTACACCAGATCATCAAGCTGGATCAAGTCATCAGGCCGGATCGGGTCATCAGGCCGGATCGGGCCATCAGGCCGGATCGGGCCATCAGGCTGGTTTGGGCCATCAGGCTGGATCGGGCCATCAGGCTGGGTAGCAGGCACCAGATCATCAAGCTGGATAGGATCATCAGGCTGGGTAGGATCATCAGGCTGGGTAGGATCATCAGGCTGGATTGGGCCATCAGGCTGGGTAGCAGGCACCAGATCATCAAGCTGGGTAGGATCATCAGGCTGGGTAGGATCATCAGGCTGGGTAGGATCATCAGGCTGGATTGGGCCATCAGGCTGGGTAGCGGGCACCAGATCATCAAGCTGGGTAGGATCATCAGGCCGGGTAGGATCATCAGGCCGGACCGGGTCATCAGGCTCGGCTGGGTCATCAGGCTGGGTAGCGTACACTGGGTCATCAGGCATCAGGGCATCAGACTGGACAACGGAAGGCGGGTTCACAGATGGCAGGCTAACCGGTTTGGATACTGGTAGGATGGCACTGGTTGGAAAGAATTTTCGCTTCTTCTTGAGTTTAGTTACTGGGGCACTGCAAGTAAATGCAGGTCTGTAAATGGAGGGAGTAGCTGGAGACAGAGAAGTGCTGGAGGATGGAACAGAGGAGGGAATAGTTGCTACAGCAGCCTTTTTTACAGGGTTAAAGGCAGGATAGGTGCATCGAGTGGGAACAGGGTACTGACATGTGGTAGATAGCAGGGTATATTGGGCTGTCACTGGGGGTGCTGTCGGGAATGCAGGAGTAGAGCTTTGAGCAGAGGAATGATTAGAAGCAGGACGGGTTTGTTGCAAGCTGCCTGAGGCTGGGTGTAACAAGTCTGACCAGGACTGTAGTATTGGTTGAACAAAGCTCAGCTTACACATAGCCTGTCTGACCAAAGACTGCACTGCATTTATACAATCCATTAGCACCTGTTGTGAACATGCTGAAAAATGCTCCCAGAAGCAATCCACATCATCCTCCAATAACCATACCAGTGACTCTACTTGGTCTGTACTAAATGGCGGCAAAAAGTCATCCCTGCTTTCAGGGGTACCAGATGAAGCCAACACAAACTTGAATCAATGGTTGCACCTCAGAGAACTCCATGCCCTGATCTACTAGGAAATGAGCGATCCATATGCATTCTAGCAGCTGATTCCTGGCATACTCCTTCAGAGTCTGATAGGCATAATCTCTGTCATCTAGGACTAGCAGCGACAAATACACAAGATCCTCAGGGTGCATCCTTCACAACAATAAGCCAAGATGGCTTCCCTGTGCAGACACTTCTGGTCAGGACTGGCCTTGGTGTAATGTCAGGGCTCCGGGAATGACCAGAGGTGTGTGGACCGACACAGGGAAACACAGACTTCAGGTATAGCGTGTAAAACAATATAATTTATTAAGGACAACACAAACATAAACGCAGTGCAACAAACCAAACCCAAAACGAACACAAATACATACAACAAGGTGAAACAAACCCAAACCTAAACTGTTATATATGTATATATATATATATATATATATATATATATATATATACATGGAGCACAATGTAGTCAGGTGGGCCGGGTCGGTAGCTAACGGGCAAACGGTACCAGGAGCGAGCGGAAGAGTGGTCAGGAATAGCCGAGGTCAGGACAGGCGGAGTTCGTTCAGAGTCAGGTTCAGAGTCAGGATCAAAGCAGGATCAGGCAGGAAGCAGACAGGATGCAGGTACAGGGGCTCATGGGAAACATACACCAAGGCCCTGATCACAGGCCTGGTCCTGCTTAAATACACCTCCTGCAATCAGCCTCAGGTGATGGCCTGATTGCAGGAGTGAGATTCTGGCTGCTGAGAGCACCCGCTGGCCAGCCTTGGTACTGCAGCCCACAAGGCAGGTGAGTCCCACCACCATTGGCGAGTCCATTCCTGACAGCAAGGTTCTGGCAAAACAAAAGTTAAGTCCATACCACAGGGTGGGGAACGCGACAAGGATCACCGAGTTCTGGTAGGAAGCAAGGGGGGTTAGTCCGTAGCACCGTCTGGGCCCACAACAGGGAGGCGGGAAAGAATTAAGTCCAGGTTGGCACACAGCAGGGAGGCAAAACTCTGGCGGGCAATGATTAAGCCCAGGTTTGGCACACAGCAGGACTCTGGTGGGCAAAGATTAAGTCCATGTTGGCACACTGCAGGGAGGCAGAACTCTGGCGGGCAATGAATAAGTCCAGGTTGGCACACAGCAGGAAGGCAGACTCTAGCGGACAAGGATTAAGTCCAGGTTGGCACAGCAGGGAGGCAGAGTCTGGCAGCCAATGGAGCGAGCAGGGGGGAGACTGCCTGTGCCCAGGTCCTGCTCCAGTATTTATCTCCAGAGCAGGACTCTCCCAGGTTGCCAGGCAATGATCACCCTGGCGTCAGTTTGCTGTGGTGACAAGCCCCGCCCCGTCACTCTGGAAGTGCACAGGGAGTGAAGCCTTTGTTTCTGGCAGGTGTATAGCACGGGAACATCAGGGCCACACTGTTCCCACTGAGACAAGGGGAGGGGGCGTGCAGCAACATCCATTTGTGCTGCATGTGGGGAATCCACATGCAGGCACAGTGGGGAGGCAAACTCCTCGGCACTCGGCTGAGAGATGTGGGGGCCGCAGCAGGAGGCAGCTCCCTGGTGCCCAGCACACCACTTATGTGAGTTACGTGTGGGCGCAGGGGCGTGGAATGGGGAAGAAGGGGTGGAGGGACCTGGAGGGAGGGAGAGAGAGGGAGCAGGGGGGACCGTGATGGGGGGGGGGGGGGGGGGGGTGATTCAGATACATGATCTGTCTGCTTCTTTCTCTTTCATTTTACTTTCTGCACAGCACTGACATCCTTGCTCCAATATGAGCCTTCTGCCACATAACCAAGACCTCCATGTGCTCAGGTAGGGACCATCAGTGTGGTAAGCAAGAAGAGGAAAAATAGTGCCTTTCCAAGAGCGTGGCCTTCATCTTTTGGTACAGCCTAGTCCACTCTTGCTTAAGATCAAGCTGAAGGAGCTTTGACATGTCATGATGAGCCCGGTGTGGACAGTGGCTCATCCAGCCCTGCAAGTCTCATCCAGGATGCACATAAAGTTCCCAATGAGTGTCCGCATTCCTGCTTCCCTGACCACGAACAGTGACAAAAGCGTAGGAGGTGCTGAGCCTGTGGCACAGACCTATTACAAGACGAACATGTCTGTGGATATTGCCGCTGAGACCTCTCTAAGGGCAAAGGACGCTGGAAGCCAGCAAGTCATGGTCATTTATGGACAAAGTTAATGATCCTCTGTGTTCTCCAGCCACTTATGCTAGAGGACTCCAGGCACAACATCTAGGATGCAGCCCTGCAGAGGAGTACGGGGCACCACAGTTAGCCCTCCTAAGCAATGAGCCCTGAGCCCATCACAGCCATCTTTATCCCTGGCTCTGAGGGCACCTTTATCCAAGCCATACACCCTTGTTTTGCACCTGGCTTCACTAGGGGTAGAAGAAGGTCGATCACCCTCCTCAAAAAGGCTAATCAGGGTTCAACTGTCTCCCAGGTCCAGTTATTTATTAGGGCGGTTAAGCAGAATGGGATGACTCAAGTGACTGGCTTCAAAGTCAGAACATACTTAATGTTTCCAAGATATAGCAGCAGCAAAATTATACAGTCAGGTCCATAAATATTGGGACATCGACACAATTCTAACATTTTTGGCTCTATATGCCACCACAATGGATTTGAAATGAAACGAACAAGATGTGCTTTAACTGCAGACTGTCAGCTTTGAGGGTATTTACATCCAAATCAGGTGAACGGTGTAGGAATTACAACAGTTTGCATATGTGCCTCCCACTTGTTATGGGACCAAAAGTAATGGGACAATTGGCTTCTCAGCTGTTCCATGGCCAGGTGTGTTATTCCCTCATTATCCCAATTGCAATGAGCAGATAAAAGGTCTAGAGTTCATTTCAAGTGTGCTATTTGCATTTGGAATCTGTTGCTGTCAACTCTCAAGATGAGATCCAAAGAGCTGTCACTATCAGTGAAACAAGCCATCATTAAGCTGAAAAAACAAAACAAACCCATCAGAGAGTTAGCAAAAACATAAGGTGTTGCCAAAACAACTGTTTGGAACATTCTTAAAAAGAAGGAAAGCACCGGTGAGCTCAGCAACACCAAAAGACCCGGAAGACCACGGAAAACAACTGTGGTGGATGACGAAGAATTCTTTCCCTGGTGAAGAAAACACCCTTCACAACAGTTGGCCAGATCAAGAACACTCTCCAGGAGGTAGGTGTATGTGTGTCAAAGTCAACAATCAAGAGAAGACTTCACAGAGGGTTCACCACAAGATGTAAACCATTGGTGAGCCTCAAAAACAGGAAGGCCAGATTAGAGTTTTCCAAACGACATCTAAAAAAGCTTTCACAGTTCTTGAACAACATCCTTTGGACAGATGAGACCAAGATCAACTTGTACCAGAGTGATGGTAAGAGAAGAGTATGGAGAAGGAAAGGAACTGTTCATGATCCTAAGCATACCACCTCATCAGTGAAGCATGGTGGTGGTAGTGTCATGGTGTGGGCATGTATGGCTGCCAATGAAACTGGTTCTCTTGTATTTATTTATGATGTGACTGCTGACAAAAGCAGCAGGATGAATTCTGAAGTGTTTTGGGCAATATTATCTGCTCATATTCAGCCAAATGCTTCAGAACTCATTGGACGCCGCTTCACAGTGCAGATGGACAATGACCCAAAGCATACTGCAAAAGCAACCAAAGAGTTTTTTAAGGGAAAGAAGTGGAATGTTATGCAATGGCCAAGTCAATCACCTGACCTGAATCCAATTGAGCATGCATTTCACTTGCTGAAGACAAACCTGAAGGGA